CCCCCCCCCCCCCTCTCCTGTTATTTACCGATTATGTATGTTTTCGGTTTTGAAAGTAACGTGAAACACTACTACAAGCAACAAAGGTCTGCCGCCCCCTGTTTTACAAGCGATTCGCACCGGCGCAAGTACACACAGCAAAGTTTTCCAGAGCATCGGAGAGCTAAGCGTGGCGAAAGGTAAATCGATAACTCCTCTCGTGTGAAAACTGCTATTTCTTACGAACTCTAATCTAACACAACATATCTTACTTGAGTTACAGTTGGGCCCGCTGTAGCCCAGGTCGCACACACAAATACTGTTGGTCCACAAAGGCTCGCAATATCCATGATCGTTACAATCCGGACACAGATTGTTTTCAAGCTTACATCCCAATTCTGTGTTCCTTTCCTTAAGAGGATTCAGTAAATCGTACATTAAGTCGTTGTCTTTTATATTCCTTATGCAGCCTTTAAACCCAGCGTAGTTGATCTTTGCATTTTCGAGCGCGTTCTCTACTCCACCAATTTGAAGTGGCCCAAATCCATTAAGGTACCTGTAATATAGAGCAAGAAATTAGTAAGTTAAAATTACTCAAGATTCCAGTGTAGTACTCAGCGTTTATAAGCGTTGGGATTGGAACGCCCGAAGGAGACAAACGAGACGAATTGTGTTCACCCTGGCCTAAGGTTAGGTACTAAGTAACACGGCTAAGCCCTCGGTACAAGTGGTCTACATTACATGGATCGAATTCTTTGAAAAAGCACTTAGGGAGGAACCGAAAGTGGATACATCTCCAAAGAGTGACGGCTCGCAACTTAAATCAGAGCTTGCCGACAAGCTCGGTAAATTTCGGTTATCAATTAGATCAATCACAGATATCTGGCAAGGATGGTCAGGAATACTGTATCACTATTCACCGTCAATTTTTATTTCCTTATGATCTCCAGAGATATGATATTCTCCTTGATCGAATTAATTGATTTGTCTGGTCGATCAAGATCGAGTTATGAGAAGCGCTCTTGATTTTAGTTATTAAACGTTTACTAAGTGAGGAAATGACTGAGAGGTTTTAGAACGCTTATTGCTATATATGAGGTAATAAAAACATCATTGTAGAAACGTTGTCGGGGAAGACAGTAGGGGGCTTCGGTAAACTACGATGGCGACGGCAATGTGGCCAAACAAAACATCATTGGGGGTGTGGTGTCATAAGAGACGGTTAACACATCAAGTCATTCGCTAAATCCTAACTAAAACATAAATAAATGTTATTAATCGACTTTTTCCTTGGCGTTGCCGTCCTGACTGCTGCAGTAAATTCTCTAAAACACGTTCACATAAAGTTTATTTCTCTACCAGAGTAATAAACATTATATGATAGTGTTTCTGAAGGGAATAAATCTACACTGCCTTGCCTTGTTGTCAGAAATCTATCGTGCTCTGTAAGAAATTTTGTTATATTTAAGATTCATCTGCCATTGTCCACTAAAGCATTTCCTCCTGACTCCCAGTAAACACTTCGGTGGCATCGTTCCTGGTTCAAACTTCGTCGGAAATAACATTTTTATAATGAGGATACCTTCGCATTCATTTAAAAACATTTACCCTTTAACCCCTAAGAGTGACTAGCATCTTATTTCTCCTTACAATATCACCACTGAATGACACATTAATGTCATGAGAATAAAAGAAATGATCACCAACTAAAGAAACTCTTGATTGTTGGACAAATTCTCCTTATCAGCACCTTAGTAAATGTACGGAGAACAGTATGGAGAATATGAATACTGATGTTAGGGTGTAAAAGAGTTAAACTACTTACACATTGGAGCCCCACACTTCGCCCTCAATCTCACACGACGCTCTGTTCTCTACAACTTGTCCATCATCTTCCACAACCTGAGCTTTAGAGCACAGATCAATCCTCACAGTCACTTTCTGCGGGGGGGCGGGAGGAAACAGATCGGAAAAGTAATTAATTTATTGCAAACGAGCAATAACAAAACAGGTCTACCTTACACTCCGAAATAGCAGATAATTTAGTGGCGAACAATAATTTTTTCACCTTAAGCTCTCGAATAACCTCCACCGTGTGCCATTGCTTATCATCCAGCCGATCTCCTCGGTTCATGTACAGCTCTAACGGAGCGTTCGGATGAGGGCCAAGAGTGAGCACAAGCTTTATGTATCCTTCAACCATCATCACGGCCATCACGTCTGGTAAACCATTGTTGGAATCTGAGTGAAAGAACAAAACGAAAATCGGTCGTACTACTACTGTCACTTAAGAAAATGTTACAGGCTCAAGCGAGCATAATATCTAGCTGTTACATCATAAGCATTAAATACAGCCAAATGCGATTACTTCATTTACTATTTGGTATGATTGACAATGACATCACACCAAACCCCATCCAAATGCCAAATGGTCTCATTTACTAAAAAAACTCGAAGCCTAGCCCTCCCTAGACGATCTAGAAATTCGTTGCCATTTTTAAATAGGAATTCCGAGAACAAACTTGCACAAGTTACCTTTAAAAACAGGGCCTTGGTAGAGAAGCAGCCCATTTGCCGTTTCGGTCATGAACTGTAGCGAGACAATGCTGCGTTCATAAGCGGCCAGCTTCTCCAGCCAGAGATACGAATTGCCTTTAAATGTCCTGGTGGTGCTTTGACATTCCGGCCCTCGATATTCTCGACTACACTCACAGATAATTCCCTTTGGAACGGCATTATGACATGTTCCACCGTGAAGGCAGGGCGTGCCCGTGGTGCAGTTGATTTCCGGTAAGATGATAGATGTGTACTCTGCTTGAAGATTGACGTTCATAGCCACCACTGTCAAAGAGCTCGCAGGAGCAGGAATTTTACCGTAATCACCGCTCACTACGGTGAAAGCTGAAGACGCTTTAACAACGTTACTACATGTCCCAACTCTTTGCTGTTCGTATGCACATGCATCGATACCAATGCTTCCGATCTCTAGTCCTGTACATCGGAAAAAAGATATGAAATAAGGAATAAAGACACACTAATACGGGGTTTATAGGCGTGCGTTTCACAAGTGTTCAGCAAGGCACACGAATACAACAGCAAATTTACACTTTCACAACAAGCGAAGGGTATCTATGGCCTCAAATGAACACATAACACTCTCCTTAAGGTTCGTCTCTTTACAAATCTCGCTTGTCTTTAATGGATATGTTAAAGGGGTTGAGACTCTTGTCAGTCAGAAGACGCGAATTCTTGGCCTATTCTTACTGAATTCAACTCACCTAGCTCCTCAAGTGTCTCTTTCCCTTGTATTAGCCGCCTTACAACATCCAGGCGATCCAAAAACCCACTACCAGACGACTTCACAACAAGGTAAATCTCCACTCCAAACAGATCCGAGAGAGGAACACGATTGACAGGAGCCTTCTGGATACTGAAGATTAAAATTTGGTCTGTTTCGCCACCAGCCAGAATTTTCGCCAGCGCCAATCGAACTTTGGAGTAGTAGTCACCCACAAAAAATGACGTTTTCCTTATCTTTAATATCTGTATGGCCACGCTTTGTTGGATCGCTGCACTTGTTACACTTTGTACTGTGACTGTTACCCTAGAGGTTACAGTCTTCGGGAAATTACCAGGTCGTTGCTTTTGTTCTTCGACTTCGACACTGAATGTATACGTACCCATTGGTATATTAGCCTTGGCTGTGATATCACCAGTTGCTGAGTTGAGGGTGAAGAAGTTCTGGTTGTCCATGCTGTACTTATTCTGGTCGCCCTTGTAATCGTTGTCTTTGTAATAAGCCTTACCAATGATTCCACCGGCAAACCTGCCGTTGTACGCGTTCACAATGATGGTCAGCTTTCCGTCGAACGGTTCGCTTATAGGATCTTCATCTTCAACTTCAATGTACACAAAAGTTTTGTTCTCCTTCCTTGGAACTCCACTGTCAACTACCTTCACTTCAACTTCCCACCGCTGCTTTACTTCCCTGTTGAATTCTCCGAAAGCAACCATATCGGCCGTCTTATCTGTGGCTTTTGTTAGTTTGAAACGACTGTTGAGGTTCGAATCCACAAGGGAGAATGTAAACGGAGGACCGTTGCTCGCTTCATCGGGATCGTATGCCTCAAGAGTCAAGACAGGTTGTCCTTGGCTGGGATTTTTGCCCGCCTTGACAGTACCCTCATAAAATCGGGGCTTGAACCAAGGGCCGTTGTCATTAAAATCGGTTACAATAAGATGCACCACTGCGATACCCTCCAACCCTCCAGAGTCAGTAGCTGTCACGGTCAAATTGTACCGAGGAACAGTTTCTCGATCTAACTGCAGTAGCGTGTAAATTTCTCCAATACTACTATTTTTAGCGTTGGACCTGATAGCAAACATATTCGCGTCATCACCGTCCGTGATAGAGAACTGGAACTGCGCGTTGGTGCCGGTATCTTTGTCAACCGCTGTCACCAGTAAGACAGTGTCACCCGGTTTTACACTCTCCGATACTTTCTTGTCGTACTCAGCAGGCACAAATATTGGAGGATTGTCATTGGCATCGATCACGTTAATGTAAACCAACGCTGGTTTAGGGGCACTCCTAGGTGGATTTCCGCGGTCACTAACTGTAACTGTCAGGTTGTAGGCTTTCTTCCCCTTGTCGAAGTCGAGAAGCCCAGACACGAGGATGCGACCATTCCTTGGGTCGATGTAAAACTCGTAAGGGTCATTGCCTGCTTTAATTGTATACTCTAATTCAGCGTTGGGACCAACGTCTTTATCGGTAGCAACCACCTTGGTAACAAAATACCCGGGCAAGGCATCTTCTGGAACATTTGCTTTGTAAATTAAGGGATTAAACTCTGGACTCTTATCATTTCCATCAGAAACTTTGATTGTAGCAGTAACAGTACCAGACAAAGGTGGGTTACCACCGGCCTGCCTGTTCGTAGCTTTCACTCGTATAGTAAATTCGTTTTCGGGGCCCTCCCTTTCCAGAGTTTCAAGGGTGGTGACAAGCCCGGTGTCTTTATCAATCTTAAACTTGCCCCCAGCATCGTCCTCTAATTCATAATGTATTGCTGCGTTTACACCAGTGTCTAAATCAACTGCTTGAAGAACCATCACACTGGTACCTGGATTTTTATTTTCTTCCACATAGCCGACATAAGGAGGGTTTGGAAAGTACGGGGCATTGTCATTGATGTCTGTTAGGTTGACTCTTACCAGGGCCTCTCCTCTATGTTTCCCATCATAAGCGAAGACGTAAAAGCTAACAATTGGGTCTTTTTCGCGATCAAGTTTCTCATTGGCGGTGGTAATCTGGCCAGTTTCAGAGTTGATTGAGAAATACCTCTGTCCTGTATTGTCAATCGAGTAAGCCAATGGATCCTGAATTTTGGAGCTGTCCAAGTCCGTTGCAGAAACCTGTACCACCTTTTCACCAGCCTTAATTTCCTCTTTGATCGTTTCTTCATAGATCAGCGTAGTAAACTCTGGGACGTTGTCGTTTGTGTCAATAACCTGCCAAAACAAAGATAACCACATCCGTTAAGAATCCAAGCGTTGATAACTTAACTAACCCATCAGCTTCGGATAATGTGGAGCACCTTAACCGGCAATGTATCTATGTAAACGTGATAAGAGTCCTCTAACGCAAAAGTTCAATAAAAATCCTGCTGCATTTCATTAAATATGAGAAATACTCTTCAGCATTGAAACGTGACTGGCGAGAAAATAGAGAACCTATAGGCTTGCTACGCCCATAACATGCAAAGGTCAAGGGACATAACGAGCTTTGGTTGCAAACAGCTTGGGAAAAACCCTTCCAAAACTCTATGCCATCACGTGTTGCGGTTATTACCTAACCCTTTACACCCTAACATCAGCAAGAATATTCTCCATACTGTTCTCCAAACATTTCCTTGGGTGCTGACACGGAGAATTGGTTAAATAATAAAGAGCTTCTATGAATTGTGATTTCCTTTATTCTCACGACCTTTATGTATGACCCAAGGGTGATATGCAAAAATAAATTAGATGCTATTCACTCTTCGAAGTAAGAGGGTTAATCTAACACCCTTAAACCTATTTCGTCAGTACAGTAAGCCCAAATTTATGATTTGCTTACCTTGATGACAACGTCCACAGTGTCGCTGTTTTTTCTATCTGTAGCCGTTACTTTAATGGTGTAGGTTTCTACGCTTTCGAAGTCCAGCTTGCCGTCAAGATAGAGAATACCTTCGTTTTGGGGACTGTAAACCGTCTCCATTCTGAAAAGCTGGGACTGTGCTCCGCCGGATATAAAGTACTCCAACTTTGCATTGTCTCCAATATCAGCGTCCGTTGCCGATAGGTCACGGATAGAGGTACCTATGGGAGCATCTTCTTGAACAGTAGCCTCATATGACCTTTGTTTAAAGACGGGGGGCTCGTCATTCTGATCCACAATTGCAATGGAAACAGCAACTTTGGCCTGGAGAGCTGGCGTGCCTTTATCTGTGGCGATCGCGACCACAGTGTGAGTCCCTTGCGCCTCCCTGTCAAATTTCGCTTGGCTGAAGATGGTGCCATTGCTTTGAATTATCCTGAATTTCTGAGGCGCCTCAAGGGAATAAAAGACTTGACCAGACTGGCCGGTGTCCCTGTCATCTGCTTTGACCGTGATCGCATTGAAGCCTCCAGATGTTTCCTCGGGAACTCTGGCGGAGTACTCTTCAAGTTTAAATGTCGGTGTGTCGTCGTTTACATCTATAAGTCGTACTATGACAGAACAAGTAGCATACAGATTATTCTTATTCTCTCGAGCGCGAATCTGAAGCTTGTAGTTACTCTGCTGCTCAAAGTTAAGCGTACTTGCAGTTGAAATCACTCCTGTTCCTGGGTCAACCTTGAAATTCTGCTCAGCTCTGAAGTATGACTTCACCAAACTATACGAAATCACATTCGTGGGGTCGACCTGGCTTACCGCTTTCACCGTCTCCACAGCACTTCCTATTTTCACATCTTCTTGAATATCGGAAGTATAAACACTACTTGGTTCAAACTTGGGTGGTTGCTGGTTTACAACATTAATCTCAACTGTAGTCTCCGATGAGCTTGTTTTCGTAGCGGTTGGTGTAGCCTGATTCGATGCCCGAATTTTCAGTTGTACGGTTTGTTGGAAATTGGCTAAGTCCGCGATTGTTATGATGTTACCAGTAGCTCCATCGACTTTAAACTTGTCACTGGAGCCAACCAAGGAGTACACCACTACCTGGTTGCTTCCTACATCATCGTCCGTAGCGCTCACAGTCAAGACGGTCGTAGATATTGGGGCTCCTTGAAACACACTGCCATAATATTGCCTTGTGAAGAACACGGGATAATTATCGTTAACGTCGGCTACTTTGACTTCTATGATACAATAGGAGAGAAGCCTCTCTGCTTCATTTCTTCCATGTCCTCCATCTTCGGCTTGTACTATTAACGTGTGACGATCTTCACTCTCCCGGTCCAAGCTGGTTATTGTCGTAATCAGACCAGTGGAATTATTTATTTCGAATAGCCTTTGACCACCTGTAACAAGCTTGTACTCCACTTCCCCGTTCCGTCCTCTATCTTTGTCTACAGCAGTGACTTGAGTTACCCTCTCACCTCTCGGTTTGTTCTCCTCGACGGTCACTTCATCCGGGCAAACAGTGAAGACTGGTCGGTTGTCATTGATGTCTTCGATGTTGACCACAACACGCACTTCATCGAATTTCGGATTTCTACCTGTGTCTGTTGCCCGCACTGTGAGAGAGTACTGGGTTTGCTTTCCTTGAACACTCTGTCTAAGTGACAGCACACCAGTGTCTCGATTAATGTTGAAGATACCGCCGCCATCGCCGCTGGTTATCGTGTACACTGAAGAGTCGCCATCAGCATCTCTGGCAAGGATGGCTGCTAGAGCTTTATTAGTCGTTGCATCTTCTGCAATATCAATGCTGTATTCTCCTTTCTGGAATTTCGGTTCTTCGTCATTCTGATTTTGTACGGTTACCCTGACAAACGACCTAGAAGAGAACTTCTTTTCGCCAAAATCCTCCACGACAACTTTAAATAAGTGTATCCTTTGAGTTTCATAGTCAAGCGGCGTATCACCAACACTTATCAAGCCAGTGACTTCATCAATTTTAAAAACACCGGTACCTTCCAATGAGTATTTCAGCTCGGCGTTTTCGCATTTACAACCTGTGCAATCACAGTCGTATGCAGTGATACCAAGCACCGATGCGCCTGATCCGACATCTTCACTGATGGATTTTTCATACACCTTCTGAGGGAAGTAAGGATAGTACTCGTTAGCGTTCTTCACCGAGATGTGAACATCTACATCATTTGAGTACCCACGAGGAATCTGCTCTGTTGCTGCAACTTTCAGGTTGTACATGCTTGTCTTTTCACGATCTAACCTCGAGTTCACTATAAGTTCCCCAGTAGATTCAATGGAAAACTTGTTTTCAGTGTCACCTTGCTTTATTGAGAAACCCAGTCTTGCTCCAGAAGCACTGGTCGCATTGACAACACCAATCACCTTACCGGGAAGATCATTCTCAAACACTTCGAACTTGTATGAACTTTCGGAAAATTGTGGTTTGAAATTGACAGTCTTGATATCAAGGTACACCGAATCGCCAAACTGACGCGGAATGCCAAAATCAAAGCCAAACAAAGTGACATTGTACCCTCCCCTGTCTTCCAGAATACCGCCCGTCTCCACAACTTCAGTTATAGGATTGATGGCGAAAGGTATTCCTCTAGATACCATCTGGTAGCCAATCCTCCCACTCAAACCACCGTCCTTATCCTCGGCCTTAAGCTGATACGCGCTCGTTCCTGGCCGCGAATTAGTGTTGACACGGCCAAAGTACTCAACCATTTTCATCACAGGTTTATTGTCGTTGATGTCTATCACATTGATTTCTACATCTACATCGTTTGTACGACTGGCCGTGGCAGGCTCTTGTTCTCGGACAGTTAAAGTAAAAAATTGCCTCGCTTCAAAATCAAATGGTGTCGTCATGCGAACTAAGCCAGAATTATCTACAGTGAAGTTGGCTTTCCGCGGATAGATAATTGATAGCGTGCCACCAGGAAAGTATCTTGGAACTATAGCGACCACACTACCGACCTCTTTGTCTTCTCTTACGTACACCCTAACTGGATGCTGCTGCTCCGGTCTGTAGTTAACCAGCACAAGCTGCACATCAACCTTGCTCTCGCGTGGGGGAGAACCGTTGTCTTTGGCGGTCAACTTGAAAGTTACAGGAGATGAGAAATCCTTGCGAGGTTTCTTGGCTATCAAGAAACCTTCTTTATTTATAGAAAAGGATGCCCGTGCATTCTCAGATAACGTGTAGGTGATTTTGTCCCCTACATCACCGTCAAAGGCTGACAGACGGGCGACAGAGTCGCCTATCTGGAAGTCGTCTTCTACTTTTCTTTCCACAAAACCATCGACCTCCCCAGGGAACGTGGGCGCGTTATCGTTAATATTCTTGATTTGAAGGATCACAGTCACTTGATCACTGCGGTCTCTAGTGTCCATCACTCGCACAAAAAGCCTACGTTCTTGAGCTTCCTCGTAGTCCAGCTCCCTTGTTACCATGATTTCGCCTGTGGAAGGATTAATCCGAAACAAGCCATCTTCGTTACCAGATACTATTTCATAGGTGAGAGCCTCAGAGGTGGCCGCTTTCACGACCATGACTCTGTTGTTCGCTTTAATGCCTTCTTTGACTTCTTGAACGACTGGTTTAACGACAAACTTGGGCGGTCCATCAGGTAAAAAGACATTCAGATCCACTTTAGCGAGTGTACTTCTCGGCGGATTTCCTTTGTCTTTGGCTTCAACATCAAGTGTAAAAGTAGAAGCCGAGACTGTTGTCAGAGACCTTTTCACCTTAATGACACCAGTATCAGGATCAATTTTGAAGGCCCCCTCCGCATTACCACCTGTAATGTTGTAAACCACTTTACCATTGTCACCACTATCCAAATCCGTGGCTACAACCAATAAGACTTGAGAGTCCACTTTGGCATCGAGGGCTACTTTAGAGACGTAGGAGTCCGCTGAAAACTTAGGGGTCTGATCGTTCACATCTTTGACGTTGATTATCACCTTGGCGATGGCTTTGAAAGAAAAAAAAAAGCACATGACGCAAATTGTTTGGTCATCGTAATTTTCAGCGCTATGTTTTCATGCTTACTACTCGATTCGTTCGAACTAAAGGAAATGGTTCGTCTAAAAAAAAATGGAGCTACTTCCTCTTCGCACAACACCTCTAGTAAAACGTACTTCATTCTCGGGTTTATGATGAACATGCCAGCGATACGACACTTCTTTTTCCTAAAGCTGGAAACTGAAGAATCAGTCATCACATTTTGCAAGAAGCGTCCGAGCTGTGACCGTGCACTTAAACGGGCATGGTATGGCGCCCACAAGCACGCTGGTAAGCACGTGATTAGCGTAAATAAACTGTTGCTTCCAGATTTCGATTTCAAGAGCAGTTTTTCAGAATTCAGTGGTCCATTCCTGTAACTTTCCTGGATATTTTATTTTGAATCTACTGAGTTGCACCCTCGGAATTTCATAAGTAATTATGAACGATAATTTTGTATCAGCATAGTCATGTCAATAGCAAGCTTTACAACGCTACAATTTAACCCTTTACTTCCCATGAGACATCAGTAGGGAATTTCTCCTTACAATATCGATACAATATCAAGCAGACAAGTGATGAGAATAAAGATAAATATCAATTAGGGAATTATTAAACGAGCAATAACGAATTCTCCGAACTATCATCATAAAATTTGTACGGCAGGCAGAAAGGAGAGTTGACAGCTGAAGGGTAAATTAGGTAATTTTTCCGGTATTTACCCTCAAGAAGAATGATGTATAAAAAATCTTCCGTGACTTTTGGCTCATGGATGCTCGTGTCTACTAGTATTTTCCTACAAAGCATATTCTAATGCGTCTTTTTTCACTTACTGATTCATCTGTTTATTCAATATGTATTCATTTATTTAGCTATGATAGTTAAGTATTATCTCCCTGAATCGTTTTCGACATCTGGTTAAACTAAAAACAAACTAACACACTCACAAACCTTTACATTATTGTGTCTTAGAGTTCGAAACTTATAACTACTAGCTGCTTAAATCATCACTAGGGTAGATAAAAATTTAATTCAGCTCTACTGACTATGGCATCATATGCAAAAGCGTGCGACTTACTGGAAAGAGAAGGAAATCCTTTATCCGCTGCACGGATGTACAAAACGTGCTGGTTGATCTGTTCAAAGTCAAGTGGCTTATCTGTGGGAAGGGAGCCAACCGGGGCAGGGATAGTACTAATGGAGCCAGTCTTCAAGTCAACGTTAAACTTCGAGTTTACATTCACAGCGTATAACAACCGATATTCGACTTCTCCATTATCTCCAGTATCTTTATCTTCGGCTGACACTTTGCCTACTTCTTGAGCAAAACCTTTGACAGAAAGGGAAAAAATCAAAATGCAGCATGAAATTCAAGGCCCACCACCCAAATCAGCAATGCAATGCATGTGAAGCAACACAGTTCACATACCATGGAGCGATTTTCATTTGCGAAATTAAGAGGAGAGAGCTTCAGAAAGGCCTAATGCGAAGATAAGTTCTATCACTTGAAATGTTCATTGTATACCAGAGTTCTCCTTCCCCCTCCATTGAAATTGTGGTTACTTTTCACAATACTACAAACATTCTCGAATGAAAAGGTCGTGGATGATAGGCAACTTTACATCATACACGACCTGTCTTTATAGTGCATCCTGCACTACCAAAGACTGACGAAGCTATTCGTACCGCCTGACAGATAGTAGCTGTATGTACCATTCAGAACCGTTTAATCACAGGGAGTAGAGGAGTAAGATTTGACTGTATTTCCAGTGAAAAGAAGTCTTACAATTATGAAAACAACTTTATAACTACAAGAGCCAGTCACACTGCAACTTTTAAGGTTATGGAAATTCAGTAAAATTCAAATCCTCTGCTCTCTATGGTACAATGAACAAATCTTGTATGAATAAGGAAAGCTAGCTGATTGCAACCAAAATAACTAATTAACAACTGCATTGCTAACAGGAGGTTGGTTGCCTGAAACATCCACGAGCTTCCACTATTGGCAGCCAGCTCCTAGATGGAGACTTCTCCCATGGCTGGCAAATCATGGCAACCCACCAATGAACCCCCACACAGGAAAGGGAAACAGGCACCCGTCACACTGAATAAACGGTGGAAAGAGGGAGGGGAGGGGTGGGGAAAACTGCCTGGACGATGACCTGGCACTCCTCACAACGCTGCAAGTTCACGCTCAAAGCACACGCAAGATCGCCTCGAACGAAGACCATATCGAATTGCGACACATGCAAAAAACCGCTGACTACTAGAGAACGCTGATCCTCTTTGTTGTTACTAGCGCTCTGACGAAGGGTTAAACGCTCAAAACATCAATTTTAAAAACTCTCTATGGTGACCAATTTCCATTATCAACAAAGTGGATAAATTAAAATTATATATTATAGTACCGCCCACCGACCCAGCACCACTAGAAACCTACCCCATTTATTAATTTACTTACCTTTGTCTTCGCTAACTTCGAAAGAGTAGACGGCTTTAGTAAACCGAGGAGCATCATCATTTTTGTCTCTAACCCTCACATCAACAGTCGTGTTGCTGACCTTATTTCCCACAGAAACGGACACTTTTAATGAATACGAGGAAATTTTCTCCCTGTCCAAGGGTTTGGCCACGCTTATAACACCATCGTGATTAATACAGAATGCTTCATCGGTGTTTCCACCTAGGATTCTGTACTTGTAGTTATTATTCGGTGTTGTTGGTGAAATATCTTTTACTGAAAAACCAACAGGTTTGTTTTCATCCAAGGAAACTAAAATAGTTGGAGACAATTGTGGTGCTTGTAATCCTTCTGTTACGGTGACCCGGAGGCGGTAAGCAAGACTTTGTTTGCCTTTGCTGTCACTAGCTTGAACAGCAATAGTCCACGCCAGCTGTTCAGATCGCCTAATTGAAACAGAATGAAACACCCGCAATACTTTGATGAACAATCATGTAAGAAGAGGGAAAATGAAGAATACCTAAATCATTGATATAACAAGGTTTCTGTGTTGTAGCCGAGAACTACATAAAACTGACATATATGTTGGAACTCCAACAAGTCCATTACCCTAGCATCGTCACTATCTTAGCTGGGTCAGCAGCATAAACACAATTGAGGTCATGAACGTATGGTCCAAAGATTCACAGCATTACCTTATTTCCCGTGAGGCTGTAATGACACCTGTATTCTGATCTATCTGAAATGGAGTGTTTGATGTGGTGATACTATATTTGACCTGTCCATTGGCACCTGCATCGCGATCAATGGCAGTTACCTAAAATAATATTGAAATATGGTGAAATTTTTAGAACCTCTTTGAAATAATAGCAATATAGTTAAAAATATATATATATTTCTAGAACGACCACGAACTTGTTTTCTGAATAGAAACTGACTAGAAAGCCTAAATATACACAGTACATTCACAATTAGAGAAACAAGCTGTCAAAAACTCAACAATATCCACTCCACTGAGCTCCTCCCCCCCCCCC